ACTTTAACATGTGGGTTTGGTTGCAAGTACTCAAGTATCTAGTAATGGTGTAGGCTGATAACAGACGTATGCAGTGACAAAGAAAATGCAAAATATCCTTTCAACTCTTGCATTACTTTAACATGTGGGTTTGGTTGCAAGTATCTAGTAATGGTGTAGGCTGATACCAGAGGTATGCAGTAATACTTGATAATGAGTTTTATAATAGGAAACTTATTGGTTATTTTACATTAGTGTATACTCATCATGTGCCTTGCTTTGCAGTATCATGCATAATCTAGCCTGTTCTTGTGGGAGTGCTAGTTATGTGACCTTTCCACTGCACAAGAATGGAAGTGGGGCAATAGTCTTAGTATCCTGACCATCACCTTGTTCTCTCCATTGTAGAGTAAAGTTGTCTCAGGGGCAGGTCTTGACCTACCAGTGAGATTGAATTGCTTAGTGAGATGAGAAAAGAGGACCCAAAACAGAGTCCCAGTGGCCTGTTGCCAAGAAGATGTAATGGTACGTTGGTTGTGTCCTAATACTGTTCTGTCTCTTGGGAGAGGTTCCAATGCAGTCTTACCTTTCAGATGGGTTTTGATAACAGAGGAGAGATTTCTTTTAATATGACATAAACATTGGATTTTGGCTTTGGGTTATAATGAAATATTACTTAGCTCCCGTATCTGGTAGAATGGTCTGTGCTCAAATGAAATGTGTCCATTTTCTGTATGGTATCAGGAAAACTTAATTAAACCTTACCTGTTCTGGTTAAGAAAATAAAGTTTTTTCCAGGAATTTATTTACCTGCATAGTTATTACAAAACAAAGAAGTAGTTTCTCAAGGGCAGCATTCCCTCTGCTTTGTAGACTTTTGACAGCATCTGTGAAAACCGTTTGTCAAATGTGTTTGTTTTTTTAATGCTGAATATCTCTATATTTTTTTAAAGCTTTTTCCTTCCTAGAAATAAAGAAAAAAGGTTTTCTACTTTTTAGCTGATGCTTAATTTTACAAAGCTAGTATTAAAGTAACCTCAGCTGAACTATTTACCATTTTTCTTAAGTTGGTATTCTGCTTCAACATATCTTAACATCATACTCTTTGCTTCTGCCCATTAGCAAATTACTTTACAGAATCCTTGACCAATGTATACACTAGCTTATGTGACATATCAAGATATCCGTAGCATTCAGGCATTTCAAGAACAGATTGTGATTGCAATCAAAGCTCCAGAGGAAACCAAATTGGAAATACCAGTTCCTAAAGAGGTAAGTTTTATATATGCCTGTCTTAAAGGAAAAAAGTTCTCAGATCTTACCTTTGCAGCAGCAAAGTCAGTAATTGACTTCCGGTTGCTTTGTCATGTGTAGCAAATATTGGTACTTCTGTTGTTCTTGTGTTCCGCTAAACAATGCTGTAGGGATAATAGTCTAAGAAACTTACTTTCAATATTTTTTTTCACCTAAACTATTAAACATTAAATGTGTCTGAGGTTTAGTTATTTGGTTTTGCTAGAGAGAATGGAACAGCTGTAATAAATCTTACTTATTTCCACTATCACTTTGTTTGATAATTACTAGGATAATGGAACTTCCAAAGAGCTGTTATTATTTGTATACTAAATCCTACAAAAATTGCAAATCTAACCAAACACAGCAATAAGCATGATTTGATAGTGATCTTAAAAACATGTACATGCTGCTTAATGAGTAGACAGCTATTGTTACTAAAATATTGAAGTACAAAATGCACAGTATGGTTGACAAAAACAAACAGTTTGGCACTCCAGTATGTCATGTCAAGATGTATTTTTTTCATGGAGGTGGGGTGCTGTGCCCTGTCCTCCCCTCATGGTACAACCCACTGTTTAAAGTAGTGCTATGAAAGAGGGGAGATACTGGAAGTAAGCTTAAGATAACAAATGGAGCTTTAATTCTGTTTTCCTTTTGTGATTGCATTTTTTTTATAATGTTTTTAATTGTGTAGTCATAAAATTTACATTGCTGTGTGCAAACCCACTGTTTAAAGTAGTGCTATGAAAGAGGGGAGATACTGGAAGTAAGCTTAAGATAACAAATGGAGCTTTAATTCTGTTTTCCTTTTGTGATTGCATTTTTTTATAATGTTTTTGATTGTGTAGTCATAAAATTTACATTACTGTGTGCACAAAAAGGGAGGTGGTATCACAGGAAAAGGAGATGCGAATCAACAGAATCAGAAAACTTAGATCCACTGCATAGATCTCCAGTGATTTCACTAGTAAAAGTAGCTGTCACTCATCCTGTGGAGATGAAAAAGATAAGATTTCAGAGGCTTACTGAAGCAAAAGAAGTCAGTATTTCAAAAAGCTGTGTTTTAGAGAGAACAGAATCTTCTCTCCCATTGTCCATTAAATTTGATTTGCTCTGTGCCTTGCAATGTGATGTCTGCTAAAGGAAAGTAGTAAAGGTAGTATGATTTAGTTGCTTTGCCGTATTATTAAAGCTGCTCTGTCCTCTGATTTGTTTTCTGATCCATGGCATTGACTTGACAAGTTTTAAATTTTGTTACTCTGCCTAAACTTACAGTAAACCTTGGTCATATATTTAAAGGTCAGTAAAAAGACTAAACAAAGATTTGTTAAGTGCGTGTTTGTCAAAAATGAAGCCTTGTTAGCTTAATGGTCCTTAATAATTGGCCTACAAATCTGTGTAATAGGTATAATTTATGTAGAACTAATAACACAATTTTAAATAGTTATGTCATTCCTGTATTTGTTCTGTTCTTAATCTCTTGGGTTTTAAATACGTACAAAAATAGAAAACTGATGTGTAAGATTTTTTTCTGTGGTTTATATGTAAGTTCCTGTTTTATAGGATTGCATAGAAGTACATGTGAAGAGCACAAAAGGACCCATTGATGTGTATCTATGTGAGGTGGAACAAGAGAAGCCAGGTGCCAAAACTTCTGATGATATGGATACTGTCACTTCTGAAACTGAGCCATCAGTTCTTCCTGATGAAGGTAGTGTCTTCCATTTACATTTTTATCCCCATGTAATATTTTTTTAAAGACAGTCATACCATTCTGATGAAGTTGAAAACTGTACTGTACATGGATAATTTTCTGGGCATAGTTTGTGGGCCAAGATGTGTGGGAGTATAGGAAACACCTGAAAGAGAGGTCCGTGCTGTTGTGTTACCTCACGACAGCAGGAGGTCAGAGAGTCAGGCATGTGCACACATACCAACGCACTCTTCTTCCCTGGCCCTTTCCTTCCTTTGCTTGTTACTGGTTTCCTGTCGGAGCTGCACTCTGTGCATGGAACAGTGTGTGTCAGTTGTCAGCAGCTTCACTGCAGAGTCCTGCAGCTCAGCTGAAATAACTGTCATGAGAGTTAGATGCTGTTTCAAACAAGAGAGCGTGCTGCTCTTGCTCGTTACTGTCCTCTCTATGGGAGAGCAGACAGAAGAGGGGATGTAGTATTTTGATGTCCTAAAACAAGATTGGCTGGAATATAGTCTCTAAAGACCCCCAGTGCTGCAGGATGTTATGGTTTAAAAATAAACGTGGCGGGAACTGGAGTAGTTTGGAACACAAAAGATAAATTATTTTTAACAGTGCTACTTTATAGTTGTGGGTAAGAGTTGACTTTTTAATCTTGGACTTTTTTTTTTCTTTAGTTTGCTTGCAAAATGACTCAGAATTGTATTTCCTACAACTACAGTAATCATATTCCTTTTTTTTACTTTCCTTTCAAAGTGAGATCTCCGGGGGAAGAAAAAAAACAAACCACCTGAGATGACAGATGAATTTCAACTCAAAAATCTAATACAGAATGTAAATATCTGTGTTACAGAGCTTTTCCAAAGCCTCTTGGGTCTGCAAACTTACTAACCTGAAATGTTCCAAAGTGTTTTAAATTTAAAACAGCAGTGGGTTGGTTGAGTGCTTTCACAGGATTGCTTATCTTCCCAAGTCAAAAGATGACAGTTCCTAGAGTTGCTTTTAGGAGCTTTGTTTTCATAATTGCATGTGATCTATAGAGCTTTGGGAAAATGGTATTTTTAGCTTATGAAATAATTTTAATTGACAGAAACAATAGGCAATTAATTACTTCTAAAAATGAAGATTTGAAAACTATTTCTGGAATGATCCACAATCCTTATGAGAGTGTATATAATAAAGAAGTTCTGAATATATAATAAAGTGCAGTTCTGAGGCTGCACTACTGCTAAGCAGGATTATCAAATACGAGTGTAACAAAGAACTGGTGTATCAGAAGCCTCCACTATAAGGAACAAGATGTAAATATCATGAGAGTTATGCCTTACGCTGTGTAGATGCTGTTTGCATTGTTTGCATCCAGCTCTGCATGAACTATGGTATCAACACTGAAGTTAAATAATTTGGCTTTTTGTATATATCTGTATCATGTCTAGGTAGTTACTGATGTAGATTTATTGAGATGGTTTGCATTTCTGCCTTTGTACAGCAAAGAAATAAAATAAGCTATAAAAATATTTTAATCAGTCTAATGAAACATGTTGGTTGGTCTTTGTTGGAATTCACTGTAACTGCAAACATTAAAACTAATGTGAAAATTTTAAATCTGTTATATGTGGTGCTGGCAGCTAGCAGTTAGATCCGATTCTTGTCATGCCACAATACCATCGCATTTTCATCAATAACTACTTAAATTGGTCCCTTCCAATTTATAGAGTTTATGTACAGCGTAGCTTTAGCCTAGCACCATGATCTCTTTGTGGCTTTAGCTTGCAAAAATACATACAATACTTTAGAACTACCTCTGTGTTCATCCGTCTTCAGAATTTTGACACTGGGTTTTCAAAGTGAATTAACTGTCACCACGCAAATGCTGTATGCAGGATCATTTCAGTCCAGTACTGAAAAGTGTACTTCAGTTTTCTGTGTGGGGAGTGGTTGGTTGGTTTGGTTTTAACTTGGAACTCCTGAAGTCCTCATTTTTCCAATCACACCGTATTGACAACTACCCATCTACTCACAAGTGGGAACAACAAAGCTAATAAACCCTCAATGTTTTAAGCAGCAACTCTACAGCTAATTTAGACAGATGCTGTGAAAGTCAGTGTCCTATATCTACTAATAAATACAAATAAAGTAGGGCAGTTGATATTGAAGAGCTTAAATATGCTTAAATACAGATTGAGAGTTCATCCAGTTTTCTACAGGGTTTACTAGTTCTGCAAAATGCTTAGTATTATACTATGGAAATTGGGAAATACACCAAGTACAAGCTTGTGTCAAGAAGTAATCTTGACTTCTTGTGTACATGCTTCCAACTTCCAGCTGCAGAATATAGGACTTCAGTGTTGGATACTATTTTTCTGCATCTCTGTAAAATGCAAACTACAGGCTGAGCTGTTAACAATAATAACTAAAAGTAAAGTGAAAGCACATTTCATAACTAGATCATAATAAAAACGGGGAAGGTGCTCTTCCATTGAAGCTCGGGATGGGGGCTAAAATTAAGAAATCATCTTTTTGCACAGAGAGGTTGTCCCTTTTCTTCCATGGCCGGCTTCTTTCCAGATGGCAGACTTGCTATTTGATTTTTGCATTGCTGTTCTGTTTTGGTGGGGAAAGAGATCTGCGTGTATTAGTAGTATTGATCCCCCTACACCGGTTCAACAACTTGGGATAAAATTTCCTGTGAAATGTGAAAAATTGCAGCACCAAGAGCTAACCCTGAATGCTATGAGTTAGGGTGGGATTTTGTTAGGTGATGATACAACATTCTGAAGGGTGGCGTAAAGAAGTGTACTTTTACAAAATAGCCATCTTACCAATGTTAAGGAAGTCTGTCTTCAAAAGCAGAACATACTTCAATTTAAACATTAGGGATTTTTAATTTTGAACAAATCTCTAGTGATTCTGATTTTCCTCCCTCCTTTGTGCAGGTTTTCTAGCTCTAGAATTCATTTCTTTAACTTAAAGCTACACAATTATCACAAAGTGAAATGGGAGAAGCTGTAATATGACAGTTTTTTCCTAGAAAATTTCTGAAATTATTTTCTGTAATATGACAATTATTTTCTTAAGTTCTTTTTATTGTTTTAATAATGCACCTTCAGTGGAATAAATGAACTTTTGAAGATGAAACCACTGTGTTGTTACTACTTGGATACTTACAGTATTATCCACTTGCCATACTGGGAAACTGTGCTATGTAAGCTCCATATGCTAACTAGCTGAAAAGATTAGACTTGGACTGTGGAGAAAAGTTCCTGAGTGATGCTGAACTTACATACAAGTTACAAGCTCACTTATGAAGTACATGTCATAGGATCTTACTCTGAATTGTATAATAATGCTTGATTTTTTTTCTGAAATGTTATTAAGTATTTTTTGTTGCATCCATATCTGTCCATTTTCAGCATATTTGTATGTGTAAGCACTTCCCTCAGCTATTTGAGGACTCTGCCTGTAATAAATTAAAAAACTCCAATAATGTTTTTGTCTTTCCTTCAAAAAGAATGGTCGAGCATCTAAACGCAATAATTAGCAATAGAACCAGCCAGGATCTGTAATTATAAAATGGCCTGGTTTTGCCGACTCTGCAACTGGAACAAATGCTGCTAGTTGCCAGTTCAGCCCTTATTTGGTATGGGAAATTACTCATCAGAGTTTTCAGATGTGAACTGCAGTTCTTAAATAATGTGATTTGTAAAGAAGAGAGAAGATTGCTTTAAATTATTATCTTTTGGAAAGCACTTAAAAGACAGCAAATTCCTTCATTTTGAATAATCTTTTTGTTGTGTGTGAAGAGCCTCATTTATGAGTATAATTAAATTACACTGATTTCAAAAGTCACTTTAGCTCTTGTAATTTTCAGTGTTGAAGTCAGCCTGCTTGCTAGACCGTCGGCTGGTCCTGAGTAGCTGGAGCTGACTGCAAGCTTTAAACCCGTGTGTGTGTTCGTGATCTCGGTGTATGTGCTAGCTCTGGCACTATGCTGGGACTTTAGTAACTGCTGGAGTGTTTATCCAGACCAAGAATCTGCTGGGTTTGGTTCCACTTCTGATCTGCCAACGGTAATTTGTAAGAAGTGTGTTGAGGCTAAAATGACATAAATTACGCGTGGTGGTGTACAGTTTATATAAATCTACATGAGGCTTCTTACATTGATGTTTACTGAAGGATTGGGATAGTAATTTGTAAAAAAACATGGCATATGTTTGGAGGGAAATCTTACTTGATTCTTGGAGAGAAAGAGACGCCTGGTTCTCTCCATGTACCTCATACGTGGTTCCTCCCCTTCCTTCCACCCCCCGCAGTCTGATGGTGGGCTGTCTAAGGGCCTGCAGCTGTGCTGTCTGGACATCGCCGCGTAGACGTGGGCTTACCGTGGCTTCTCACAACGGGATCCATGAATGAGGCACTGTTTGTAATTGCCCCTGGATTAACAGATGGGGCTACAGGAGACAATCTAGAAGTTATAACAGCAAATGCAAAAGATGCAAGCTCAGGACATCGTTAGCTTTTTATTAACTTTTATTAGGCCTTTTAATATTTCATAGTATCCTTTTTCAAAAGGAAAACTTGGCACTTGAAGTGAAAAATTCAGGAATTTAAAAATCTGCAAGAAGCTACTCAAGTTCCTGGAAGAGCTTTGCTTTCAGTCTTTTGGAGATTCTAATGCAAATCCTGCACAGAACTGCTTTTAGACAGTGCAGTATTCTTTTCCAGGTAGACAAGCGATTTTGGTGTTGCAGCTGTCATTTTCTAAGGAGGTTTTTTTTCTATTTTTTCCCATCTATAACCATAAAAATGTCACAACCAGGTTACAGCAGTAGTTGTTGCTTCTTTTCGCATGTCATGAAACAAAAACTGGTAAAGTTTTTTCTTGTAAAAGAAGACATCTGGAAAATGTCAGATAAGATACAAAGTTTCAGCAAGCTCAGAAATAGAAAACCTGTTTTTATATATATTTTAATTACACGGCACATAAAATCGTAAGAGGCTTGCTGGCTCCTAAACCTAGGCTAGCATTTGTGTGCACAAGCTGTGACCTCAACATGCAAGAGTT